CCCCGGCGACCTTGGCCTACCCGCCCCGGTGACCTGGGCCTGTCTGTCCTAGTGACCTTGGCCTGCCCGCCCCGGCGACCTTGGCCTGCCCACCCTGGCGACCTTGGCCTGCCCGCCCCGGTGACCTGGGCCTGCCCATCCTGGTGACCTAGCTCCATGCACCCTGGTGCCCTCGGCCCGCCCATCCTGGCGACCTTGCCTGCGGGCACACCAGTTCTGAGCCCTGCCAAGCCCCGGCCCACCCTCTGGCCACCACTGTGCTCCGTCCTCACCCTCTTCCGTCTAGGACTGATCTTCCTAGTCTGCCCCCTTGACCCGGTGAGTTCTGGGGCTCCCTACCTGGGGCCCCAAGGCCCACAGCTGTGTCCTCGTCTGGCACCCCTGTGCCTGGGGGTACAGTGGAGGGTCAGTGCCGGGAGCCCACACACTCCCAGCCCTTACAGGCGCGGTGCGTGATGGGGTATCAGGTCCTAAGATGTCACCATGGAGGGGGACTCTAGATTTCTGTGACCTGCCCCCAAACACACGTGCTGAAACGCTAGGCCTAGGTGATGCATGAGGAGGGGGGTGAGTAGGTCCCCATCCTTGGGAGCAAACCGGTGTCCTGCCAGGGCCCCCCCAGACTTCGCCCACTTCCACCTTGGGCTCAGCCAGGAGCCGCCATGGGCGCCCCAGCTCGCTGCCCCCGGGGTCCCCCGCTGGGGGTGAGGGTGGGCTGTGGGGTGTGGACCAGCCGCGGGCCCAGGAAGGGCGGGCGCAGAGCCGCCGGGCTGCCAGGACCGTGGTGGGAGCCCGCGCGGCAGGAGCGAAGGCGCCGGCCACGCGGCAGGGAGGGGCCGCCGACGCCCCGGGCTCACGCGCCTCCCGCGCCCTCCAGGGCACCATCGTGAGGAAGAGCGTGCTGGTGGTGCGCCACGGCGAGCGGGTGGACCAGGTCTTCGGGAAGACTTGGCTGCAGCAGAGCGCCACTGCCGACGGTAGGCGCCGGGACAGCTGGCCTCGACCCGGTAGCCGCGGCCCCGCCCTGGCCACGCCCCTTCCGGCCACGCCCCACCCTGCCCTGGCCCCGCTCCGCCCCAGACCCGCCCCGGCCCCACCCCACCGCTCCCTCGCAGCCCCATGGCCCCGCCCCACCCCGGCCCATAGCCCCGCCCCTGCTGTAGAACAATGTGTGCAGGTGCGCTGGGAGGTTACTTGGTACTCAGGGAGGTAGGCGGTGTGCACGGAGGGGCAAGTAGACAGTGCGGGGAGGGAGCCCACGGTCAAAGTCAAGGTAAACAGGGCGCAGTGCGCCGCCGGCCGGCCGGGCGCACAACCCAGATGAGGCCGCTGACTTCCCGCGTCCAGCACCCGGGGAGGGCTGTCCTGCCTGTTCCTGCCCTGCCCCTAGGAAATAGGACCCAGAGAGCACGGGGTGGGTCAGGTGCCCCTAAGTTATTAATGCCGACGCTTCCGATCAGGTTGCCCGTCGGTGATGGAAAGCGGTGGCTTTTAGCCACGGAGGCCACGGGGCAGCTGGGGCTGGGAGAGGTCCGGGGCCCTCGTGGCCCCTGACCGACGTCTCCGGGCTGGAGGGGACGTACAGGCGCAGCCCCTCTGCTCCCAGAGCAGTGAGGAAGGCGCGGGCCACGCGGGCGGGCAGGCGCACTAGGGGCCAGTCCACTGAAGGTGGCCGGCCGCCCTCTAGGGAAATACTTCCGGCCGGACCTCAACTTCCCCTGCAGCCTGCCCCAGCGCGCCGGGGGCACCAAGGACTTCGAAAGTGACCCCCCGCTCTCGTCGTGTGGGGTGTTCCAGTCCAGGACAGCAGGTGAGGGGGCGCCCCACTGCAGCAAGGTGCAGCGAGGGGCCGGGGCGGGGCAGGTGCAGCAGCAGTGGGGCTCACTTCGGGGACCGCGGGGCTGGGAGCTGCGGGGTGGACTGGCGGGCAGCGTGGAGACGGGCGGGAGGGAGCCCGGTGACCGCCGCCTGCACCAGGGGAGTCACTTAAAAAACAGAAACCACATCCTCTCTTTGATTTCATGTCAGAATCTGTCACTCTGGGTTTGCGTTTAGTGTCTGAGCTTCCGGCTCCTGTGATTGACTTTGGGAGCAGAGAGGTCACTAGGCTCTCGGCCAGTCTGTGAGTCTAGCAGCCGGAGTCCACACGTGGCGTCCACACAGTGGCCCTCCTGCCGCCCGCATAGGGTCAGCGTTTATGGCCAGCTGTCGGGGGCCCCGGGGAGCCCTGACCGGGGGCGCCGGCCGGGTCTGCTGCCCGTGCTGGCGTGCAGCGCATGGTGGGATTCTGCCCTGACTCTGCCCTTCCCCGAGACTGGACAGAGAAGATCCCTGCCAGCGAGAGCCTGCTCTGGCACCGGCTCCTCCCCGCCTAGGTCCCCCGTGGGCGTGCCCCAAGGGCTCCAGGGACACCGCAGGTGCTGGCCGTCCTGGCAGCGAGTGGCCACTGGAGGCCGCTGATGCAAAGGGCCACCCCATCCTCTGTCCGCAGGGGAAGCGCTGCTGGCCAGCGGCATCCGGATCGCTTCGGTCTTCGCCTCCCCGGCCCTCCGCTGTGTGCAGACTGCCAAGTACATCCTGGAAGGTGAGTGCTGCACCCTGGCCCTGTGCCCAGGCCGCACACTGCTCTCCCAGGGCAGGGTGACCTGAGCCCCCCACTTCCAGCTGGGCGGCCGAGCCACCGGCCCCCCGGTCACCTTGTCCACCTCGCCTGCCTCTGCGTGCGTGTTGGGAAGAAGAAAGCACACCTGGGGCAAGGGCTCCGGAAATCCAGGGGTGCCGCTCCACCCGGTGGCCAGCGAGGCGGCCAGGGCCGCCCAGCCACGGAGGCCCCAGGCGTGTCCAGTTGCCCTGCGGGAGAACCTGCAGAGGGCAGGGCTCTGGCCACCTCTGAACCCAGCGGAAGTTCAGTGGGGGCTGCAGAGGGGCCCGTCAGCCCACGGGTGCAGTCGAGGCCACCGGTCCACCGTTGCCATCCTGACTGTAAACGCGAGCGTGGCCGGAACAGACGGGAATGGCGAGTTCCGTGGTCAGCATGTGATGGTTCTGCGCTGACTTCCATGTGGCCACACCTGGCCTCTGGAGAAGGCACAGTGGAGACGCTGGCCCAGGCCCTGCGTGTGACCTCCGCCTGGCTTCTCGGTCACCGGGCAGCAGAGCCTGCGAGGTGCGGGTGGGCAGCTCTGACCAGACTTGGGTAGGGGCCCTAGGATGTGACTCCTGGGGAGGGCGGTGCGGCTCGCCCTGGGGAGCCGGCCGGCCGCGGAGACAGATGGGCGGGGCAGTGCAGAGCAGGCGACAAGGTCTGCAGGAGCAGAGTGGGGGCACGCCCAGGGTGACGACAGGTCCGCGGGATGGCCGGGGCACCTGGAGGCCGCTCCAGCCGAGCCCCCTTGCAGAGTGGGGCCCTGAGCCTGGCGTGGGTCAGAGGGGTGGGGCAGCCCCCTTCCGCCCCGGCCCCCCAGTGGGTCCCTTGGTCAGAATGGCGCTTCCACGTGTCAAGTGGCCTCCACCACGGGCAGCCCCTTCTCCGTGGACAGCTGGGTCGGTTGCGTCCTCGGGGTGTGGGTCAGAGCTGCCTGGGGTGCGGGGGCCGCGCTGGGGGTGGGGGCTCCTGGGCACGGGTGCCGGGTTTGCCTCTGAAACGGCACGACGGAGCCAACCACAGAGCAGTGCTGGCCGGGGAGGACCGGCTCTTGGAAGGCGACCTGTCCACCCTGGAGAGGCTCTGTCCACAACCCGGCGGGCCCCGGAAATGACAGAGCCTCGGGTGCTTGCAGAGCTCAGGCTGGAGAAGAAACTGAAGATCAGGGTGGAGCCTGGGATCTTTGAGTGGACGACGTGGGAGGTGGGCAGAAGCGCGCCGGCCCTCATGACCCCGGAGGAGCTGAGAGAGGCCAACTTCAACGTCAGCACCGAGTACAGGTGGGCCCGGCCCCGGGCCGCCACGGAGCGTGGTCCCACGCTGGGGGGGCGGCCACACGGGGAGAGCGGGGTTGGGGCCGGGAGCAGCCAAGAGGCCAGCGGTTCTGTCGGAAGTGACCAGTGTGCACTACAGAGGGCTGGCCGGGGCCAGGAGCTGCCTCTCACGTTGGGGTTGATCAGATCTGGAGATGGGGCTCAGCAGGACCCTTGGCCAGCCTGACCCCCCCCGGGCACCCAAGGCCTGTGGGGCTGGGGCAGAGGCCCGGCCTGAGTGGCGTCTGGCCATGGGAGACCTGGCCTTCTCTTCCCCCCCGCCCGACCTTTGCCACCACAAAGCCTTTCTGGGGTTCGGCCCGGTCAGGGCTAGGTCACGGCACTGGACACCACCCCAAGCCCAGAACCCCAGCCTACAGGCCCCTCAGCGTGAAATTCTGGAAGGGACAGACCTGAAATGGCCCCGGGGGAAGAGGCGACCCCAAGTTCTCACAGACTTCCTGTGGGGCCTGGGGGACAGTGTCAGAGCCCAGAGGAGTCTGGGGGGACCTGGGGTCTCGGGAAGGCCGCCCCACACCTCTGCAGGGACCAGTCCCTCCTGTCACCCCCGCACCCCGTGAAGCCCACCCGCCCCTGCAGCTTCCCGAGGGAAGCGCTGGGTCCCTGCCCTGCGAGGGGCCTGGCCAGAGAGTGGCTAACTGGGCAGGGAGAGGAAAACCCTCTCGGCGGCGTGTGGCCAGCACCCTCTCTCTGGCCACCCCCACCCCCACGGGTGGGCGCCGTCAGCCAGGAGGCCCGGGCCTTGTCAGGGCGTCCGCCTCAGGGCGGGCTCGCCGGGTCTGCGTCCGTGGGGGCGGCATGGGGGTGTCTCGGGAGTTTGTGCCGGCAGAGCTTGGGTGCGGGCCCCCGCGGGCCAGGCCGTGGGACCCCGCCGGCCACGCGGTGGGGCAGCCACTCCCTGCCTCCCCGCAGGCCCGCGCTGCCCCTGTCCGCCCTTCTGCCGGCCGAGAGCTACGAGGAGTTCGTGGAGCGCTGTGCGGTGAGCATGCGGCGCATCGTCAGCTCCTGCCCGGCCGAAGGTGAGCGCCAGCTGGCCCCTGCCGGGCTGCCCGGAGGCTGTGGGCCCCGCCCACCGCCCCGCCCCCTCGCGGCCCTCTCCGCCCGCTGACCCGGTGCCCTGTCGCGCAGCGGGCGTCATCCTCATCGTGGCTCACGGCTCGGCACTGGACTCCTGCACGCGGCCCCTGCTGGGGCTGCCCCCCCGGGACTGCGGAGACTTCACCCAGCTCGTGAGGAAGGTGCGCCCGCTGTCCCGCTAGAGGTCAGGCCCGGCCTGACCAAAGCCGTGCAGCCGCCCGGCGCGGCGGCCCCATCGCCTGCGACTCAGCCCGCCTGCGCGCCTGGGCCCCGCTGCCAGCCAGTCCCGAGTCCGCACCGCGAGCGGCGGGGGCGAGGCCCGTCCCCCTCTGCCGCTACACCCCGGACATCAGGCCCTGGGGCTGCAGGTTCTCGGCGGCATTCGGGGCGGGGACCCCTCCTGGGGGCCGCCCCATGCCTGTAGGCTGGTACCCCAGCCGGGGCCAGGTGGGCCAGGTCTGCAGGCACAGCTGGGTGGGGGAGGGAGGGACACCCTGCTGGGAACTGCGACTTCACAGGGGGCGCCCCGCCAGCCCTCGGGACAGGCAGCCTCTGACGGACCTGCCCAAGTGCGCGGCCTGCCCAGGGCCCGTCTGTGCCCCAGGGCCCGCCGTGCATGCCCCAGGCCCAGCCCCCCAGGCCCCGACCTGTCCGGGTCCAGACTTCGCCCCACTGCGCTCGGCCCTCCCGCCTCCGTCCTAGCCCTGCCCCTGCTGTGCCCAGGTCCCGTCTCTGGGGATGTGCCTCTGTGAGGAAAGCAAGGAAGACGGCAGGTGGGAGCTGGTGAGCCCCCCGGTGCGGACCCTGACCCACAGCGCCAACGCGGCCTTCAGCTGGCGGGACTGGATCCCGGGGCCCTGAGCCCGCGCCGAGGCGACGCTGCCCAACGGCTGACCGTCAGGCTCCGGCCACGGCCCGGGCTGGTCGTGTGGCCCAAGGAGCAGAGAGAGCACTTTGACATGCCCAGAGTCCCCGTACCCCGGGGGGCTGGGGCTGCCCCAGCGGGGGGCGCCTAGTGGCCCGCGGGGGTCCTGAGGAGCAGGACTTGGTTTCCGGGAATTAAAGACCCGCGCTCGGCCGGGGTCTCCACGCTGCTGTCGCGTTCTTGCGGGCGCCCAGGCTGCGCCGCCGCCCCGCGGCTTCCAGCCGAGCTCGCCCGCACCACCCTGCTGCGACCGCCTGGCACCCGCAGCCAGCATCGCAGACTCTGGCCCCGGCAGGGCACCGCCCAGGGCCACAACTCGGACAGCCACAGGCCCCGCCCCCGCTCTGCCCTCGTGGCCCTCCATCGGGTAGCGGCGTCTGCGCCCGCCCCCTTCCGCTGCCTCCAAGGGACTGCACGAGGCGCGGGCACCCCGAAGTCCAGGTCGGGGCGGCCCCGACCCCACCCCGTTAGCCCGATGCACCTGTACCCGGGTCCATTGCCCGTGGGGCACAGACACGCGTGGGGTGGCGCAGACGCTTTGGGGTCGCCACACGGGTTCTTCCCAGCGGCAGGGGCTGGGGCAGCTGGGCAGGCCTGAGAGCCGGCGTCTGAGCACGCTAGAGCCGGGCCTTGCAGGAAAAGAATCGGGAGGGGCCTGATGGCCGCCAGGGCCACGGCGGCGGCGGCACATCACAGCTTCCCTGCAAGGTGGGACGACCCCCACTGCCGGCCCCGAGGGACACCTGAGGGGAGCCAGGTGGGGCCGGCAGGCGCACGCCAGGGGTCACGCAGCCCTGGTCTCAGAATCCAAGCTGAGCCCACACGCGACGGTGGGCACAGCTGGGCACACTCCGTGGCCTTGCGGGCAGCGCCGTGCGGCTTGGCGGACAGGGCCGGGAAGCTGCCGAAGGGAGCAGCACCCCAATCACAGCCAGGAGTGCGGCCCGGGGGCCAGGCGGGCGGACCTGCTCGGCCAAGGGGCCGAGCCACAGGGTGCCCGCGATACCTGACTCCGAGGGACAGGCCCCCAAATCAGGGGGTGCCACGGTGGTCTTGCTGGGTTCCAGCCGGGGTGGGCCACAGGCCGGGCGAGGGGTGCCCTCCCACGTCCCACGTGCCGTGCCATGTCCGCCCCACGCCAGAGCGCAGAGAGCCCTGGACACACGAGTCCGGTGGACACCAGGAGACGCCTGCTGCCAGCCTGGCCAGCCCCCGGCCACGGTACGGGAGGGCGTGATGTGAGGCGTGAGAGGACTTAAGCCAGCAGCTTGCAGGGACAGCTGCTGCCCACAGCTGCAAGCGCCGGAGGGGAGCCGGCCGGTGGGGAAGGCCCAGAGCCACCCACCCGCAGCTGCCCACCTGTGGCCCAAAGGTGCCGCAGAGCTGGGTGCCCTCGGCTGCACAGTGGGCGGGTCAGGAGGCTGCAGGGGGCAGAGCCACCCACAGACCCGCGGGACAGCCCGCAGCCTGGGACACGCAGCGGCCTGCGCGGCCCTCTGGCGCCCTCTGCTGCTAGAGCCTGGCGCCCGCAAAGCAGAGGCCGTCTGGTCAGCAAAGCCCTCCGCCGTTTATCTGCAACTAGGAGCTGTTCTCCAACAGGCTTAGGGAGGGAGGCCCCCAGCCGGGCGCCAGGCTCACTCTGGCGTGTCTGACTGTCTGGTTTCCTCCTCGTCGAAACTGACGTTTCCTGCAAGAAAGGGGAAACAGTTTACCCACCACCCAGTTTCCTGGGGACGGGTTTGTTTGCAGGCCATTTGCTAAGAGCTTTTGCGACCAATAATAACCATTCGGTACGTATCAGACCCACACCGCGGAAGGCCAGCTTCTGTCTGATAGGGCTCTACAGGGCTTGGGGGTGGCTGGCTCGCCTTTCGGTGAGAAGCACCGTGGACGCGAGAACACCGGGAGAGCAGACGCCTGGCTGCCTCCGCCTGCTCCCGCCTGGGGTGACACCAGCCCGGGGGCTGTCCCGCAGGAGACGCAGGTCAGGGCTGGCTTATCTGACCCCCCCCCCGCCCGGGCCGTTTAAGGGAGCGAGAGCCGCAGCGGCCCTTGGGTGCTGGGGCTGCTCTGGACCTTCCCAGCCCCGGGCCAGCCAGGACACCCTCCCCGCCCAGCCTCGCACCGGGGTCCAAGGGGTCGTAGCGGAAATCCTCGCGGCCGTCATAGCGACTGTCATCCCTGGGGACGTCGTCGTCCTCGCCGGGCTTCAGGGAATCGGTCTCTCCCTCGGAAAGGTCCACGGCACCTGGGGCCTCCTCCGCCGGCTGCCCCCCACCTGCAGAGGTGCAGAGGACCGGGGCGGCCGGCGCCGCACGCTCTGCCCCCGCTCATGACGGCGCCTCACTGTCCCGGGGGCGAGCCCTCGCCAGGTCACCCTGCCTGTCCAGCCTGGTGCAGGACCCCCCGCTCTCCTGCGTGGCCCCTCCCCCGGGGGCCTGCACCCACCCTGGCCCAGGGTCCTCCTGGGGCCCCACCCCAGCAGCCCTCCCCCAGGCGCCCCACCCACCCTCCTCTGCAGGGCCCTCCTCCTGGGGGGCCCCGTCGGTGGGGGCCTGCTCCTCGGGGAGCGTGGGTGTCCACAGGGCCAGCTCGGTGATCTCGGTGGCCTTCCACTTGGGGAGGACGGTGCTGACGGACTCCTCCTCCTCCTCCTCCTCCCCCCTTTCCTGTGGCAGGTTTCGGGTCAGGCCAGCGTGTGTGGAACCGAGCGTGGGGCGCTCGCTCTGTTCTGTCTGCTTACTGAGGAGCTGCCACTCTCAGCACTGCGTATGATTTGGGGGTCCGGGCTCGCACCCCTACACAGGTGTGTCATCACGCCACGCCCCCACGGCCCTGGGGGGACTTTGACGTGAGAGACAGAGGGCAGGCAGGGCCCTCCGGGGGGCTCCAGGGTGTGACCAGGGCAGTGAGCAGCCTGCACACTGGACACGTTCTGGCTAGCGAGAAGCGCAATGTTGACACCCGCTGTGTATTATGGGGAGGAGGAGGGGAGCCAGGGGGCAGAGCGGGGGCATTCAGCCACGCCGGGCTCAGGAGGGAGGGCGGGGTGAAGTGGAGAGAACGAAGGGGCCACCCAGAGAGGCGGGGCGCCCAGGGAGGGGCCAGGAAAAGGAGGTGTCCCGGTGGGGCCCAATTCACGGCCCAGGCCATCGCAGCTGGGAGGGTGCCGGGTTGCTGGCCCAGAAGTCCTGGGGGAACGGGGTGCCAGGGCCTCTCCGGCCTCATCTCCCGCCACCAGGGGTTTGAGGCGCTAAAGGTCAAGGCTCCCCTCCAGTCTAGGGTCGGCCCGCCTGGGGCGGGGCAGCCACGGGCACAGCTCACCAGGTCGGTCAGGCGGTATTCGCCGTGCTGCTCGCAGCCAATGTCGAACACGTACTTCCCGGGGCCGACGGGCTGCGGGGGCCCTCAGTGAGCCGCAGCACGGCCACCCCCACCGGGGCCACACACCACCCCCTCCGCCACCGGGGCCACCCCCCCTGCCATGGGCCACACACCTCCGGGGCCACCCCCTCCACCCCCACCGGGGCCACACACCGCCCCCTCCGCCACCGGGGCCACCCCCCACCAGGGCCACACACCATCTGACCCCCAGCCACCCCGCCGCCGGGGCCACCTCCCCACCCCCCCGGGACCCGCAGTCGTGCGCC